TGGTCTTAAATTGAACACACGTGTTCCAATCCTATTGGCTGCGACCACCCAAATAGCATTTTTCGTTTCTCGTTCGAAAAGGGAAGTTTCTCAAATTCATACATTATTAATGGAGTTGGTACTTCTAAGTTCATGTCACACTAATTTAAGACGGGGTTGTGTAACGTTGTTTATTTATTTTATAATGTTTTATTTTAATATTAAAATATGATAAAAAAAATTGGATTAAATTAAAAAAATGTATAAAAAAAGTTATAAAGAAAAAAACATCTCATTCCTCATGTAAAATCTCTTATTTTTCTCAAACTATATCATAAACCTACCGATACAAAACTAAACAAAGAAAACTACATCATCTGTCTATTTTTCATTTCAAAACTTGTTGATAGAGTAATTACATTGATTTATTTTTTAAAAATAAGTAGAAAATAATATTATGATTTTTCTAGTGTGACATGACACCACTAAGAGGAAAGTTACCATGCCTCCTTATTTGTTTGTAATAAAGTATTTAAATGGAGTTGTTATTTGTCTCCATCAGTATCTATCATATGTGCATATTTAAAAGGTTCTTTATAATGTCTTAGTTTTTTGTTTTTTTTTGGGTTTTTAGTTTGTTTTTCTGCAATCTTAAAAGTGATCTTTTAACCATTTATTGGTGTGTGGATGAAATTTTGTATTCCTTTTTATTTGTCAATGTGAAGGAATAGTGGTAAAGGATATTGATATTTAATGAACAACATATATTATGGATGAAGTTAATTAATTTGTTTGACCAAACTATAGTACGTAATTATGGAAAACCATAAATTTTCTCAATCATTTTATTGTAGTTGGTTTTAGGTACTTCACAATATATACTAAAAACAAACACATTCATTTTATTGGTTTGGAATCTTAACCATAGTTTTCCAATTGGAATCACCAATTTTCACTGGGAATGCATGATCCAAATTCATAATAATAATAATAATAATAATAATAATAATAATAAAATAATAATAGTATAAATTTATTACATAAACATGTTTTTGGTAGATGTAGGATAAATTAATTATAGAAAATAAATTTAATGTTATAGAAAAATAACATTAATTATTAATAACTGGTAACACAAGGTTAAGAAAAAACTCATACACACCTTTCAATTTTTGATTAACAAATATAATGTTAGGACATAATAAACCACTATTAATAATGTCAATTTATTTTAACTTAATTTACCTTTTAGGAATTTTTTTTAAAGAATGCAAAATTGGTTGATAAATTTAGTTTAGGTATTTTTTTATTTTTGATATATTATATTTGATATGATATACCTTATTATAATAATAATAATAATAATAATAATAATATATATTATTATTATTATTATTATTAATTTCACATAAGTTAAGATTAAGAAGATTAAGAATATGTTATATATATATATATATATATATATATATATATATTCATAATTTGTTAAGATGTATTTTAAAAATAAAATTATGATAAAAACTCGAATAATATTTTATATATAGATTAAATTAAGATAAAATTATGATGAAAATTTTAAAATAAAAAATATTTTAAATATATAAATTAATCTTAATTAGATTAGATAATATGATTACTTAAAATAAAAATTATTTAAAATAATTTTAAATAAATTTATATCAAGATATAAAATATTAATAAAAAATAAAAATATATTAAAATTAATAAAAAATAATATTAATTTTAGTTTATATAGTCCAATTTTAGAAATGGTAGAAGCATTTTTTATGTTGGGTGTGTCCCGTATTTTTGAATTAATTATTTTATAAATTAATTATACGGGAAATGTAGGTATTTATTTTGTGCAAAAACAATTATTTGTCTTACCTTTCCAATGCAAATGTCGAAAGATGTGAGACAGCGTATCATACAGTGCAAGTACTTGAGATTTCCCACAATTTCCAGTTTTGTTGAATAGAAAAAAAGTGTGACAAAAAGAGGGATTTTGTTTGGGTACAAAAATGGGATTTGTAGTCCACTTATCCTTCATCTTCATACACACAAGAAAATAATAATCCCAGATACATATTTTCAGACTAGTTTTCAGTACAAAATATACTCATTTTAAATATTGTACCATTCTTCCAGTTACAAATAAAAATTAATAGTATATAATTATTAACTATATTTTTAAAATTTAAAATTAAAATTAAGTAATAGTATATACTTATTAACTATATTTTTAAAATTACACCCATTACATAATAGATAAAAATATGGTTTGAAAGTTTAGAGAATTAAAGCGAATTTAATAAAATAATATTTTTTTATTATACTAAATTTGTTAATAATAATATTTAAAAAAATAAATAAGTATTATTATATTAATTATTTTAAATTATAATAAACATTATAAATGTAAAATATATTAAAGAGAATATAATAAATAATTATTAAAATAAAATAAAAATATAATAAACTAATTATTATTTAAAATTGATATAATTAATATAAGATAAAAAATAAAAAATATATATACTATATATTTTATGAAAAAATTATATTAAAAAATTTGAACTTTAATTTATTTCTTTTATTAAAATTGATTTAATAAAAAAATTTAGTTAACTTTTTTTTATTTTTTATCAATTTTATCTTAATTTAATTAAAATAATTGACTAATTTCTAAACTAATTCCTCACGAGTTAAACGAACAGATTCCTCTGTAAGTTTTAAAAAATAATTATTAATAAGACATGAATGATAATAATTTCTTAAAAATAATATATTTCTCAAGAATAAGAGAAAATAGATTAGATTGTCATAAAAGTTAGTTATAATATTTAAAAAAAAATATTTTATTAGAAATCTCATTCAATTTCGAGAAAATTATTTATCCGTTCATAATAAAATAATATTATAAAATGTTAATTTTGTTATGTTAATCATATTTTTTTATTGGGTAAATTCTCAAATTCAAATTAGTAAAGCTTATTTAAAAATAATGTGAAACTTGTATAAATTATAATTAATAAAAAATAAATTAAAAAGTAAATTATAAGAAATATTAATTAAATTAATTAGAAATCAAATTTAATATAAATAAATAAAGTTAATTTTTTCTTATGAATATGTTAAACATCTAATTAATATCTTAATATTAGGTATGTGTAATATTTAATTTATTGTTTTTTTATCAATAAAATATATATTTTGAAAATATTAAATATTTAATAATATAATTATTTAGAAAAATTATTCTAAAATATATAATCAATATCTCAAATCATTAATAAATATTTTTATTAAAAATTGTTTTTTTTTAAATGTGTGAGCAAACTAATAGAATAATTCGGCATAATTAAAGACGAGTTGATATTGATTGCATCTTATTAAGAAAAATGTTAAAATTCAACCAAATCAATCAATTTTTTTTTATTGAAAGAGAAGGTATTTTTTGGTACAGAAAAAAAAAAAAAGAATTCGTGTTGCAGTAACTTATATCCAAAAATCTTGCTTTATCTCACCCATGTAACTGTTCATTAGTATTTCGTTAATTAAATTTTGCCACGAAACACAACAAATTTGCAACCGTATCCGCATGACATTGAGGACCCACAACATTAACCTTTTTTTTTTTAATTAAATTATTTTTTCTGAAAAAAATTTCCCTTGTTGTTGGTGGTGTTGGACCCTCTCCTTTCTCCCAGGCTTTTCAGACAGCTTTGTTGGGAAAAAAAATGCAGGGACGAATGATTCAATGTGTGTTTGTATGAATGAAGGAATGGAGGAAGATAACGCTCTTCAGTTACAACCATTGAATTTCTTAAATCACTACATGCTTTTGGTTTTGGAACCTTCCATTCCATTCCTTATGGTTTGAGGCTGATCAGGATCTGTTTTACCTGCTCCGTTTGAGTTTCAGAACCATGCATATAGGTATGTATGCATATGCAATGATCCAAAGATACTGTTTTTCGTACTCAATTTTTTTTTTTGAATTTATTTCCCGTACTTTTTTGTGGGTTACTGTTGTGCCCTTTTTTGTTTTCGATTTATTGGTGGATCGAATTAGTGCTTCCATCACTTGTACTGTAAACCTAAGCTTTGACTGGCTTCTGGGTTTGTGTGGATTAATGGGGGAGCGATGAATTTGGAAATGTTTGATGAAATCTCCTTTGCAAGTTGGTAACTTTCCCTGTGCTGTGGTTAGAGTTTTTTGTTAGTGATTTATTGGGTTGGTTAACGGAAAGGTACATGCTTTCCACTTGGGTGTTGAGGGAAAATCTCTGGACAAGTTGTCAAAATGGGAGGGTGATTTGGATTTTTTTTTAATTTGTGTGGTTCCCGGGAGATGAAGAATTCTCTTTGAGCTTTATAGTTTAATTAGGGTCTTTTAAGTGGACGTTATTGTCTTTCCATGATTATTTAACTGGGATTTTTGAATCGAAAATTCTTTCTCCGTTAGTGGACTTTGACTTGTCTTGCATGCACCATTTTCATTGGCGATAGGTCCATGTTACTATTTCCACAAAGGTATGGGGTCATGCACCCTTTGGTTGATCAATAATAACCTCTTTGCAATTTTGTACTAGACACTTCTTCCTGCAAATGGATTTCATCTCTACCTATGGTTCTTTCTTGCTGTTGGATTCATCAAAGTTTATGTCTAGTGTCTCCTTTAGCGTGATATTCAATTACATATTCATATGTTCGTGATGTGTTTTTGCTTGAAGAGAAGAAGCTTGTGGTGTTACCAGTTAAAAGATTTATCAATGTTGGAGTCTACCATGCACTTGAGTCCTATTTAATCGTTTAAGATAAATAGGACTAAATAAGGGACTATCTTATTTCTTTAAGTGAATTCCGAGTACATCTTGTAACTCTTCCTTTTGAATTCTTGTTTGTGTAATATTAGTTTGTTATATGGTTTCATTTGCGCAGGCCAGACAGGTACCACTCCTGTGAAATGTCTGATCAACAGCATTTCTCGATTCATTCATCTGGTTTCATGCCAAACAATGAAACCTATGCCCTTTCAGAAGATCTGTAATAATATGATTGGGGTGTTAAAGCGTTTGAAGCCAGTGCTTGATGATGTCATGGACCACCAAATCCCGTCTGATGTTAATCTATGTAAAGAGTGTGAGGAATTGGATACACGTGTTAACGAAGCTAGAGATTTCATTGAAAGATGGAGTCCAAAGATGAGCAAGATTCACAGTGTAAGAATCCCTTGTATTCTTGTAGTCAAATTAATACCATCCAACAACTGTATACTCCACCCTGTTTAAGATCATTGGCATCTTTGTTTCCACTTGAAGTTTGAAAGAGACAATGAACCAATATCTCAACCATTTGTCTTCATTAATTGCAACTGCTTGACTGTTTTTATTCTATTTCCAGGTTCTGCACGGTGGTACATTGTTGATCAAGTTACAGAGCACTTCACTAGATATCTGTCACATGATAGTTAGATCGTTACAGTCACCTCCATCTGCATCAGTTTTGGCTAATCTCCAGGTATGTGCAATGTTAGAAGTTACCTCTCTCTTTTTCATGATTGTTGTTATGATACACCACACCAAAGTAAAAAAAGGGAAAGAAAATCAAAATCCTGTATTTAGGAGGAAAAAGCGTTGTCAGTTTTCTGGTGTCTTGTTGATCTGTTTAAGCTTAAGATTAATTTCTAGCAAAATTTTCAGCACTATATCCAGGAACTTCAGTGTCTCAAGAAGGAAATTGCAATGGTCTACATAGAAGAAGCACTGAGAAACCAAAGAGATCATATTGAACCATGCAAGGAGCACCTCAAGGAAATTATCGAGCTACTTAAATTGACATCAAATCAGGAGCTCTTCAAAGAAAGTATTGCTGTGGAAAAGGAAAGGTTGAACACGGAAGCCAATAAAATGATAGCGGACATTGAAGAAATTAATGAAATTGTGAATCTTGTTCGCAGTTTGCGGGATTATGTGATGAAAACTGATTGCCCTGTAGTCAAGAGTGGTCTCTCAATCCCTCCATACTTCCTTTGTCCTTTATCGTTGGAACTCATGTTGGATCCTGTTATTGTGGCTTCAGGTCAAACATACGAGAGGCAATCCATCCAAAAGTGGCTTGATCATGGGCTGACAGTTTGTCCCAAAACTCGTCAGAGACTTATTCATACAAATCTCATTCCCAATTATACTGTCAAAGCTATGATAGCAACTTGGTGTGAGGAAAATAATGTCAAACTTTCTGGTAACTCTGAGCACAATAAATCTGCCTGTATCACATCCCCCTCGGATAATTTATTGCCACAAGATTTAACTCATGATTGCTGTGTTGGGTCTTTATCTAGTAGCAATTCCATTTCAAGATCATCTTTTCAAACTGAAAATGCATTTGAAAAGAATAAGGACGATAACTCTTTCAGATTATCTGGAGAATACAATGGATGCCAGAGTGGAGCAGCTGAAAAGTGTGAACAACAGTCCCCAAATACTCACAGTAGAAGTGAATCATTTTCAAGTTCAATTTCTAGTACTGATTGTGCACTTGCACTTTCAAAAGATGCGTCGGGGATATCCAATAGGCATCAAAATGTGAAGGTGCTGTCTGGAGAAATCACAAATATCTGTCCTTCTCCTGGTAACAAACAATCAGGGATATCTCCTCCGTCGTTTGCAAAGCCATTTCTAAACCCTGGATCAAATGTGAGATTGTTGGACAATGGAAATAATCAGCATAATAATAATAATAGTCCTTCAAGATTTAATTCCCATTCTGTTTTCAACTCCACATCAGATGAATTGACATCCTCATCTCATGTCATTAGATTGATTGAAGACCTTCACAGCCAATCAGTTGAAACGCAAACTACTGCTGCAGAAGAATTGAGGCTCCTTACAAAGCATAACCAGGAAAACCGTATCATTGTAGGGAAGTGTGGGGCTGCCATGCCTTTGCTTTCATTGCTATATTCAGATATGAAGGTAACACAAGAGCATGCTGTGACAGCTCTACTGAACTTATCAATTAATGAAGAGAACAAGGCCTTGATCATGGAAGCAGGAGCCATAGAACCTCTTATCCATGTTTTGAAGACAGGAAATGATAGTGCCAAGGAGAATTCTGCGGCAGCACTATTCAGCCTCTCAGTAATTGAGAACAATAAGGCAAGAATTGGCCGTTCTGGAGCGGTTAAAGCTTTGGTTGATCTTCTTGCCTCAGGGACTCTTAGAGGAAAGAAGGATGCTGCTACTGCTTTATTTAACCTGTCAATATTTCATGAGAATAAAGCTCGTATAGTTCAGGCTGGAGCAGTGAAATTTCTGGTTCAGTTAATGGACCATGCTGGTGGAATGGTAGATAAGGCTGTTGCTCTTCTCTCAAACCTGTCAACAATTCCAGAGGGCCGATTAGAAATTGCAAGGGAAAGGGGTATCCCCTTGCTTGTTGAAGTTGTTGAGTCAGGTTCCCAAAGGGGAAAGGAAAATGCTGCCTCCATTCTCTTGCAATTATGCCTTCATAGTTCTAAGTTCTGTAATCTGGTTTTGCAAGAAGGAGCTGTCCCTCCCCTAGTTGCATTGTCAATATCTGGTACACCCAGAGCAAAGGAAAAGGTGTGGAGCTTATTATCCTTATTGTTGTTTAACATTTTTATTATCTGTGTATATCTGTCAGTCAGTTTGCTGCATTTAGCTGAATTCTTGTACCTCTTGAATAGTAGAAGCCTCGGGGTCAATCATAATTATCCACTCATTTTGTTGAGAGTTGAAACTAAGGGCTGCAATCTTGTTTTCTAATATTTTTTTCACGAGTTTAATATTCATGCACTGTTAGTGTAAAGATTTTTACATGATTAACCAATGTATACAAGTTGGCGAACTTATTATACATATGATAATAGTGTGATTGGATGATAGTTTATTTGTGCATTTTAATTAAATTCTTAATAGTGAATTCTCCATCCTAACTCCCTGCCGTCCAAAAATTATTCGAACATGGAAAATTTAAGTAGTAGCAACTACTATGGTGGTCATAATTGCATTCAGTGTCTCTTTGTAATGAGCATAATCTGAACATTGTGAGAAATAATGCTGACATGTACAGTACATGTTGATGCAGGCACAACAGCTTCTCAGCCATTTTCGCAATCAGCGGGAAGTAGCTGCTTCTGGGAAGGGGAAATCATGAAAATGGGCAATTTTGGTTATTCTATTGCCCCTTTTTCTTGCCTAAACATCATGTGATAGCTGCTGTCTAGGCCTATAGGACTTTTGTTTCATTGCATTCTTTTGATTTTTACATGTACCATCATCTGCAAAGCTGTCTTGTTATCTTATTGCGTTGACTTGTCATTGCTGTTTCTCAAGTTCAAAAACTAGGATTGGGACACCATTTCCTGGCTGCCTCACTTCTTCCCCTCTTGTCTGGGGTATTAGTATTTTCCAAGTTTTGTTTTGTATGGACTTCTAATTTTGTTTCTTACGTTGGTAGCTGTTCTTGGGAGGAGATAGGCAACACTTTCTGAAGCTTTAGCTTGGCAACATGTAAACCACAATGATTTTCTACTAGACCATAACTCATGTGGTCCCAAGTCAGTGTTGTATATATGTGTACATATACTATATAGATTTTTGTGATCTACTATAAATCATTGTACCTTACACTGTTCTTTGAGCTTTTATTTTTATATATTCAACCGCGTCAACTTTGTGATCTACTCTTTTATTTGACCCTTTGCATTATCTTATAATAGTTCATAGTTATGCTGCAAAAATGGTGGAATTGCAGCACTTTCTCTTTAACATTACAGACTGCGTTAGAATGGACAAAATCACCAACACAGTGCAATTGGGCCAATGGCTTGGACTGTTCATGGGTTGGTTTGGTTTAGCTTTTGGAAGATCAAATGCTTCAATCTTATTTCTTTGGATTGATTTGATTTGATTTAAGTTTTAAAACTTTTTGGGCGATTTGAATTAAATCAATCCAATTTAAATTAAATTGGTTTAGTTGAAATCATTGGTTGTAATAAAAATTATGTTTTCAGTTTTTATATTCACTTGTTTTTTTTTACTTTATTTTTTTATAAAAGATATATGAATAATAAATTAAAAGGTAAAAATATATTATTGGATACAATGATGATTTTATTACTAAAATCTAATACTAAATTATATGATTGATTTTGGTTTTAAAAAACTGAGATTCAATAAATTTGGTTATAAATATTTCTACAAATTATATAAACAATTGTAAATAAGAAAAATAGAATCAATTTTTCTATTTTCATTATATAAACAATTTAACATGTAACAGTCATAAAAGAATTTCATAACCTATTTTTTTATTATAAATATTTAATATTTTTAAATGCTTACAGATTTTATAATAACAAAAATAATAAATCTCTACAATTTAATTTAAATTTTAGATTAAATTAAAACCAAACAAAATTCAAAAATATATAATTTTTATGTTTAGTTTAGATAACTATCTTAAAATAAACAAATTAAATGTAGAGACAATTGTTTGCAATTTTTTTATTAGATTCTTTTAAATTTTAAAGGGTGCGGACGGAGCCATTTAGGAGGTGCAGAAAGTAGTTATTGGTTGTACCCACTAGTATATGATTCCTTATGCACAATACATACATTACATAGAGCATAAATATAATAAAACATTAATTATGATTTTTATTTAAAGATGCTTTCTTCATATTTTTCTTTAAAATATGAATATTTCGAATTAATAAAAATGTTTGTGGAGTTAAAATAAATTATAATAAAATACTTGTGGAATAGATAAACAATTTAAATTAATATATATATATATATATATATATATATATATATATATTTTTTTTATTTTTAAAAATGGATGTGAATTAAGAGAACTGATATTTTTAATTATGAAAAGTTATAGTATTCAATTTTAGTAATGTTGTTACTAAAATTATACTTTATTTGATTTAAAAAAATGAAATGAAATAAATGAAAAATAAATATACAGTAGAGTATGATAGAAAATATATAAAATTAAAAAATAAGTAAAGTAAAATTTTTTATTCACTTATTATTAGTTTGAATAATAAAAGAATAAGAACGAAAATAATTAATTTTGTATTATAAATAGCCTTACCGTAAAAAGTTACAAATTTTAATAACAATATTAATATTACCATTTTACTTTGTTTCATGGTTTTAATATACATGATAAAAACACCGATATAAATTTATAATATATACTATTTTATCTAATAGAATAATATTTACTTGTATACGTTAAAACTTTCTTCTTTTTTTTTTTTTTTTTATCACATACAATAACGTATTTTGCTTCCAAACAAAATAACCTGAATAGCAAAAATGTGTTTTGCGTTACTATTTTTCATTTTTAATTGACACCAACAAAGAAAAATAGAATAATAATAAAGCAACAAAGAAAAAATACACCTAATTTATCCCCTCAACTTTGAAGCTATATTTTCAAAATAAGTAGAGAAAAATTTGAGATAATTATAAACCTTCGAATGATATTCTTCCACTATAATCTTATTACTTTTACTATATAGAACATATTAAATATATATTATATTTTTAAGACATTAAACACATAGAATTTTTAAGAGAAGTGCATGCTATTTTTTTAGTGGCAGTTGTAATCTAATCCTCATAGAATATATGCGAATCACTTATTTTGATTTTATATATAATATCGAAAAACTAGAATGTTTATATAATGCGTCTCAGAAGTTGTGATGATGGAATAGCACCAAAAAGATTCAGATGCACCTGGACGGACAGTGGTGAGATCAAAATTGACATAAAAGGGTTTTTTCTGAACATTATCTTAGATTCAGAGTATGTTGAAATGGAGAAAAGGAAAGTTTAGGAAGAAAAAACCCTAAATAACAAAAAGAAGCATATCAAGTAAAAATCATCCACATTAATACCCTCCTCCTCCTCCTCTACTTGATTCTAGCTAGGCCTATGATGATGGCATGATGATTAGAAATGTAGAACTGTTCTTGTTTGGACATGTAGGATATAATGGAGGACTTGGTGGCATAAAAGGTGGTAGTCAATTTCATAGGATTCTCTTTTTATCGAATTTACTACCTATAGAGGTCTTCGTTTTCTCATCATCATTATCTTTTAACAGGGGTTCCCTTAATAGAACAACAACAAAGGATACGATGCACAAGTTTCTTAAATCCATATAAAACTTAAGAAATAAACAGTTGAATAAGTAGTACATGGTTCCTTAAAAAATGTCTGCAATTAAAATTTGTATTTTAAAAAATGCATTTTTAATATTTATTCATCTGTTTATTTAATTCTGAGAATACTTTGTTACATTTTTTTCTTGATAAAATATTTATTGATATATATATACCTTATAACATGTGATAAAGGTAAAAAATTAACATATTTTTTTTATATTATTAATTTAAAAGTAACAGTTTTTTAACACCAAATTATTATATTTATTAAATATTAGAGTGATTTTAATAACTTTAGATTACCCTTTTTGGGTTTGTAATACATTATGACTACTATATTAGTCAATTACAAATTTTATACTAGTTTTTATTATTTGCATTGATGTTTAGGTTTATGTTTATATAAGATACGAAAATATGTTATTTTGAATATGAATTTGGTATAATTTTCTTATCTTCTCCTCGGAGGGAATCCTTCAGCCTTTATGAGTTGAGAAAATCAAATTTCCGTGGTATCAAGAATCGTGATGTTGATAACTTTTCCTCCTTTGAAATCATGGCTACAAAATTTCTCACAAAGTCAAAGTGTTGATAACTTTTAGTTCACGGGGGAGGTCATTAGGATTTCCCTCCTTTGAGTTTGTAATATCAAATATTCCACATGTCTAACTTGGATTCTTGGGTGAGCACTAACACTAAAACTATATATAATTTTCTATTTCATATCATTGCAAACTAATGTTCAAAATAGGACTTTGAATACTTTTGAAAGTAATCACTAAAATATACAATCAAATTTGGAAAAAGTGTTAAATGTTCACTATGCTATTATTAGGTTCTCATTTTTTTAATCTGATGATGGTTTTCATCAAACTCATTTGAATTTATTACCAATCCCTTTGAACATTCCAATCGGATGGTTATTCTTCATCACATTGTTTTTAAAGCTTTTGTAAGATTTCTTTTGAGTTTTATATATTTTTTACATCAAATAGAATATAACACTACAAGAAATACTGAAATTACTGATAGTCAAAATCAGTTGGTAAATAAATATTATCGACAGAATTTCGACGGCCAAAAATTTGTCGGAAATTGGGTTGTCGATAAATGTTTTACAAAATTATTGACGAATAGGAATCTATCGGTAATATTTTTATTATTTATTATATTTTTTAATTATTTATAGTCTATTCTTTTAGAGATCCGACTCCTTTTTATATTTTTATATTTATTTCCTCCATTATATTTTTATAATTTTAAATTATTATCAGATTAATGAAATTGTCATTAGCAAGATTCGAACTCAATACCTTCTTGTACCTATATGTAAAATATAATAAATTTATCTAATACAATACCCTCCTATATCATATATAAGTATTAATTTTCACAAATGATCAAGAAATAATAAAATATAATTTATCGAGTAAATTTCTGAATAGTATTTTACCATTGTGTATATATTTTAGTTTCTTTTGTGTCAATGTTCTAAACTTAACAATAGCGGTTATAAAAAAAATTTGGTCTTAACAAAAATTGTCATGGAGCAATGTCCACCACATCATAATCTACCGTTGAAAAAATGTTCTCAAACTTCAAACTTGACCTACGATCATTCTACTTCATATAATAACTTTTTTGCTATTGTATAGAGAGAAAAAAATCATAATCTGTTTAGATTTGATTTGATTAAAAAAATTAGACTTATTTTAAATATATTAAAAAACGACTTAGTCCAATTAAATAAATATATTAATTATTTTTAGATACTTGTTCTATGGGTTCTCTATTTTATAAGTTCTTTAGATTTTTTTAGGTACTTGTTCTTTGGAGGTTGCCATGTGAGTTTAATCTCTTCAGATAGTGTTTCGTTGTTTATTTAGCTAAAGAACATATAATTTTTTTTTAAATCTTTATTTGGAAAAAAATAATTTATTTATTTTTAATAAATAGATTAATCCAT